AAGGAAGTGGCTGTGGCCTACTTCTGAGCACAGTCTTGGCATATGTCTAGGGATACAGGGAAACCACGACAAACCTGAGGAGAGCAGATCCGAGAACAGATCAGGGGAACCCCCGAATACGAAGTACGAGTGCGAAACAATGAGTGCCCAGTTCGTCTGTGTTTTGCGCGGGAACTGTGCAATTGCAGTAAGATCTCAGTATGGTATTATACATGGCCGGGATTCAAACCAGGTTCATTCTGAATGCGAATCAGCGTCATAGCCACTGAGCTAACCTGTTGGCTCGTTTACTGCAGGAAACTGCTTCACGTGACCAAACCATGCGGAAGGGACGAGAAACAGGTGTTTTCTGGGAAGAGCTCCCTGGAGGCTCTCGGTCTGTTTACTATACAAGCTGTGTAAAAATCCCTCTCGTTAGCAAATTTCGGGAATGGGCTTGCATGTTCATCGTTTGACGCACACTGCTGCCAACATCAGAATCGTTTTCTAAGTTTAATATCTCTCTCATGACAAAATACAAACCAGAAAGGACGATGAATCTTAGGCCGGAGTTTAAAAATTAAGATTAAAAGCCCTACAACTAACGCAAAGTGATAAATGATTCCAAAGATACAAGTCTTCATTTCCACTGTTGCCAAAGCGGAAATTCCAGCATTCCAGTCCTGGCACAGTTTTCCAGTAACGCTACAGCCGAAATGGTCTTGTGGCGAAACATTTATTTCAAGCGTTGGAATATACCGAGTGCCCCACTAGCTCCAGGACATAGGTTAGCTGTGTTATTTCCTTACGTACGGAGACATGTAAAGAGGGAGATGGCTCCAGTGTTAGAATATTTTACCTACGCTGCAATCTTAACGTTATCAGTCGTAAAAATTACGACGATGTTGCCACATTAACACGACAGCGACAGGCAGATCACGAAGCTGTAGGGAAGGAGACGGGTCCCTCCTTCGCGTGATTCCAGTTTCTCCAGTCGGGGGCTTCGGATGTCCTACGGTGACAGCTCGTCGAAGAGTAAACAACTTTCGTTTTGTTATTAATTTACTGACACCGGTCCTTGGTGACCATGAGAACGTGACGCATGCACCACTCACTGGCATCAGAACAAGAGATTGTCGCAGAGCGTTTACAATTGCCGGGCTTTGGTGTTCGTATTTTTATTTTATTTAGTGTTGTGTCTGACGACAGGTCCATATGAACAGGATCCTTCCATCCTTTTCTCGGACTGGGACCTGTTCATATACGTTCTTGGCAGATGATCCAGAAGTGGTTTGCCATTGACTTCTTCTGTGTGCGAATGGAGTAATTGTTGGGATGCCAATGAGGAAAACTCCGTGTTGCCTAGGCCACGGCCTTGCCCAACACAAGTTATAAATTCGAGCACCGCCGGGAATCGAATCCGAGACCCCTTGCCATTGCCTTCTTTTGTGTGTGAATGGAGTAATTGTTGGGATGCCATGGAGGAAAACTCCGTGTTGCCTAGACCACGGCCTTGCCCAACACAAGTTATAAATTCGGGCACCGCCGGGAATCGAACCCGAGACCCCAGGATTACAAGGCCAGCGTTCTAACCGCTAGACTACTTGCGAAAAAGGGAAATCAGTAGGTGGTTGAATGGTTCAATGATCAGGATCAGGTAGGAAGTTGGGTGCTTGGGTGGTTGCGCGGACGTAGGAGGAGGAAACTGGGTCAGTAAGCGGTTGAGAGAGAGAGAGAGAGACAGAACCAAACGGGCACGCGAGAGGGATGACATTAAATGAGATTCAAGGAAGATATGAGCTGTCTTGAACTGGTTCAAGGCGATAAACACTAGAAATCTTCATAAACAAGGAAACCTAATCGACTCTTCCGGAAGGAAATTCGTCTCCTGTACCTGAATATTGCTCTGTGAAGGTGTGTGGTGCACGCATTCCGTATCTTCGTATTAAGTGGTGGTTAGCTTTATGCTCCGGCCGCATTGTTCCCTGGGAAATAAATCGCGGTACCGATTGGGTAGAAGGCTGTGTGTGGCTCTACAGACATTCTGATTTCACTGGCGGTGAAGTACTCGTCGGGAATCGAACTCCTTTCTTACGAAGCAACAGCCAGTCATTTTTATGACATCTGTCCCCACTCTTGTTCGTTCAATTAAATTACACCGACGTAATTCTTGATGTCAGGTCTAAATCGCTCCAGGTTTCTGGTTTACATAGCAGCGGCCTTGGAATTCAAAGTGCGAAAAAAACAAAAAAAACACGTATCTCGAATTAGGCTGACCTCGTGCGTGTCATTTCACACGTCACGTGACGGTTGATGTCAAAGCGCCGACTTGTTCGGGGATGACAACGCACAGGACGCTTCGCAGTGTGAACAGTCGATTGTTTACATCTTACGGAAAGCGATTACAAGGAAAAACACGATCTAGATGCAAATGAATTTTTGGAAAATAGGGTCGAAAGGTTATTGTGGTAGCGGTGACTAATTCTTGGCAAAAAAAAGAGGAATTTTGTAAAAACTCTGGAATATCGAACGATGACTGCAAAAATGGCATAAGAAGGGGTAGCCGGGAACGGCGTGGACTGTTTTTAAAAACCACGCGGAATTATAAGAGAGACTCTGAATACAATTCAGCATAAAATTAATTTACAGCTCTCAGTGCGACATTAAACCCCGTACAGATCGTCTATGGGGCTTATTTAGAATACCCGTTTCACAGTCGTGTTCGAGAAGCTGCCGCCCCTAACCGGCGAATTGGATTCGGAAAACTCACATACGAATGGGAATGGCCACAACTGAATCCGAAATTTTTAAAACGACGTAAGTCCACTTTTTGACAATTGAACTACTGCCACGAAGGCAAGTACCTGGAGAAACGCGTCATTTCCCACTCGAATAACATCAGTCCAAGCCTTGGAAAACATCGATCGTCTGTTCCTGGCACAACGACATGACACGTGGACTTGTGTTACTTTACTGATAGGTATTTTTGACCGTAGAGAAACCACTGATACTCATAGCGACTCAAAAAGGTCACCCCAAGCGCTTAAAAAGAGACACAAATGCTTGAGTCATGCAATACTGTGTGGGTATTTAAAAAAATAACACCAGTCCAAAAATAACTTCAACTTATAACTGTAGATGTAAAAGATGTTAGTGAACTGTAACTGCGTTAAAAAATTACATATTTGCCAGTTATTCTTGGGGAAAAATAAATCGAGCCTTTGGATGTGCACGAGTTGGGCGCCTGACCGACCCTTGAACTGCGACCATTTCGTCATTTGTGTATCCCCGTTCAGTTAATCCGCTAGCAACCCCGTACATCTCATCAAGATCAATTTCGTACAGGCAGGATGTCGCAGCTGTCAGCACTTTCGGGTTGGCTGATACCGACAGATTCTCAAGGTCATATACCAGAACTGCTGGTTCTAAAAATCAGACCTAAAATAAACAAAATATTTGCTGGTATTTTTTTTTTTTTTGTATTCTCACCTTCTTTGACTCGTAAGATTTGAAATGACCGATTCACTTATCTGACATGACATCAAAAGACCAGTGAAGCATTGTGGTAAATGTCCTAAAGCGTTCTGGGAATAAGTTATACATCACTTTAGGCTGAAACCTATTTAATATTTGGTCCCATTAGAACCAAAATTTCGATTTTTAATTAAAGCCTGTGACATACTACAGGCCTGCCAATACCATAATGTTGATTATCCCACCCTCAGTAATATCATCAGGACGAGGCACAGGACCGATAAGGGCAGTGACGAACTTCCTTACGATTTCAATCAGGTTACAGACTATCCTGGCAGGCACCTTAACCACACGAACGACGGGATGTAACCACGACCTCCACCTTTCAAATCCTTCCCCCTCATCATTTATTTCATTATGCCCATCTAGTTCGCCACTGCATAACCTTTGCGGTTGCAACAGCGTCGTTAAACAGTTGGCGTTCGGCAAGAAGGACGTAAGCCCTTTTAACTCGCAGTAAATAAAAAAAATTATGAGTGTCTCACTTTCGGTTAGTATCGCCATCGCAAATCAAAGTTGCTGAACATTGTGTCTGGTGATTTTTTTTTTTAATGTTAATATGTATCTTAGGGTAGTTAGGGTCATATAGGATCTCAAGTTCTCACATCAACGAGAATGAAGATGGCTATCTTGTGGATTATGGATCCGTGGATCTGGTAAAAGTTTATCAACGTTTCAGGGGAACTTTCTGCAACCATCGTCACTCTGAAACGCCGATAATCTGTCAGACTATACACAGCGCCGCAACCCAGAGAAGATAGCTTCGTAATTTCAAGGTCATATTTGTCTCAAACAAAGTTACAATTTACAAATGATAATACAATCCAACTTTTGAAGTAACTTCTGCTACGATGAGAGGTTTTATGAACACGCGAGACCAAATTAGTGATGGCGTGGAACATTCATTTGACTTCTCTCCTTCCAGGTTGTGTGAGAAACAAAATGGTACCCGTCCTACTGCTAGCATCCCTCATCTGGAGCGTCACCCAGTCACATGATCAACATCACCACGTGACACAGGACA